GTCTAACCTCCGAAATAAATGATGGAAGACTGTTGTATACTTTTAAAAAACTTTCTATTACATATTTAGAGTTGGCTGTGAGAAACCTCTGGATGATATGCATTCAGAAGAGTATCTGTAAATGTGATACTAATGTTTCTTTTAAGATTTCAGTGCCCAACAATAATTGCCAAAGAAACAAAATTTATCATGACTCATCTGTATGAGCATTTCAGGTACGCAGATCAATAGTTAGAGAATAAAAAGTGGAATGTTGTTTAGCCAAATTGCTAACCGGATTTCTCTGATAAGGTTTACATTGCGGTCACCATGAGGCACCACAGCCTCCTGCCAACTGACTTCAACATCCACCACCTATATGAAAAGCGTCATATTCAGTCATAAAAATGTGATGGATTTCTTTGGTTTTTTATCCGTTCATGTGAAACACACCACAGTTGGACATTATTTGGCGATATTTTCAAGTTGTGTTGTGAAATATTGACCATTATCAATGGGAAGGAAGCGTTGCAGTCATTTTAAATAGAGGTTGTGGATAACTGAGTTTGTTTTGCTGTTATCCATTGATTTAAGCACTCAACTACCAATTAAATTTAGCTACACCTCACTCAACTCTACCTGAAGTTTGGGCATGAAGATGGCATTTTTAGCCCTCATTAAATAATAGGCTTCGCTTTTTCCCAGCCTGCCACTAAGTTCCACCTGGTCTCTGAGCCATGTTTGAGTGATGCATTTGATGTTCAACCATGACTTTAAACGCAAGGGCTTAATTCGTGTTTAAACTGTATTGTTATTGAAGGACTTTAAAGGTCACCCTAACAACTGACCAAAAACCCAGTTACATGACTTTGTTTTATGGAAAAGTACGTTGACAGGCTAGATACTAAAACCTGATTTGGTTGTCACATTAGTTGCTGGAGCGGCCTGATAACAGAAATGCTTCCATCGGAGTAAAATTAGTCTAACATTTCTGCTGAAATGAGTTTTAAAACAACTTTTGATACATATTTGGCAGTCACACAAGGACCGAGTCAATGAATTAATGAGTGTGTGCAGACTCAGTGATTCATTAGCCTGTCAAACATACGCTTGAAGGAATGATTACTTCATAGCATTATTCACATCAAAGTACACAAAATATCGTCATTTTGGAGATCTGTAAAAAAATATTACGTTTAAGGCACATTTTACTACATAAACTTACACACATGGCTTAAAATGTCTCATGCATTATTGTGTGGGAATTAAATGCCAATCGAGCTTGAATAGTATGTAAATGCCAATTGAATTTTTAGAATATTTTAACTCTGTTTTCCTGGATGACTTTAAAGGCCACCTTGGTAGCTGATAAGACAGGCGATTACATTCCTTTATTGTATAGAAAAGTAAATAGTACTATATCGCTGTGGGTCATAAATCAAATAAACAAATCTAATATGGAAAAGTACTTTCCCAGGTGAAATATCAAAGCCCGATTGGTCATTTCAGTAGTTTCTAGGGTGGCTTTTAAGTCACTGTTTTTGAGGAACTCTAAAGACCACCCTGGTAGCTGCTGAGGTAACCAATTAGGTTTCTTTATTTTATAAAAATCTACCTTTCAGCCACAATATTGAAACCTGATAGGTTATTTTGGCAGTTGATAGGGCGGCCTTTTAAGCCAGCCCTTTTCTGATGGAATGTAACATGATGAACGCTTCTCTGTTTGAACTGTAACTACTTCTCACCAAATGATTATAATGCTTCCAACTACCTATTATTATTATTTTCTTGACGAATGAGTAATAACTGGGTCCATGTACTAGAGATACTAGTAAGTAGTAGTGAGTACATCCTTCAGGTATTCACATCATAAATACCATGAAATCTAGAGCTAACAGTGTACAGTCGATCGTGTTCAGGCTTTTACCGAGGTTAAGTGCAGGTCGGTTAATGGGGCAGACAAGTTACCTGGTTGTGGTAAATAGGTGTACCAATTTGGGTGGTTGAAAAACATGTATTTTCTAGGGTCATTCTCTCGCTGTTTCAGTCCACGTTCTTAGCAAGCGTGAGAACTAGTGTACTGACGATCGTTTGCTAGTGAATTATCCTACAGTTATGAGGTTAGTCCCTATTTTCCTTCCTAAATGATTCCTCCTTTTCACGTCAATTCGTTCTATTTTTTTTATATTTCACGATGCTTTTACTCATACAGTCAGTGTGCTTGAGTTTGTCGCAGCTGTAAAAAAAGTACACCAGATAGCTGAGGTAATTTGAACCACTTTTTATGATTATCATGCGATCAGTAGTGATTACTATTTCCTCTGATTACTGTGAGTGTGGATGTGTTGAATCATCGAAGCTGAACAAAGTGAGACGACTAAAAAGTTGGTCATCGAAAGTCAATCTCAAGGACGATGCAGTTTTCGAATAAACATATGCGTCGGCAGTTCACCGAGTAAAATCTTTTTCACCAGTTCACAGTAACCTGGAGATAAACACGTTAGTTGAGAAAATCTGAATCGTTTTAATCACTTTGTTGTAGACTTTAGAGTTAGGGTCAATGAGTCCCACTCAGTCTACATGATTAAGAACATTGAAACTAGGCAGTTAACAGAACCATAAATGATCCACAATTGAATATCCACAGGGCAGAGACTGTGGTGACTATTGATGCAAAGGTGACTAACAAATATTTGTATGTTAATGAATGGCGTGCCCAATAATACTAGCATGCATGCAAAGTGGTTGGCAGTCAACTACTACTAGCCGTTTGTTCCTCGTTCCGGTTTTCAGTACCTTGGAGTTTGGAGTTGGTAACCATTGGGGTTTAAGTTAAGGGATCTATTGTCATTGGCAAGTGTCTACTCGATTAGCACATTTTTCCGTTAGTTTGATCAGGGATCGGTGTAGCATTTTCTTAAAATGACCAGTAGTTCAAAAGTGTGTTTGTGTGTGTGCGCGCAAATATTTGCAACGGCAGCACTATAGTAAGCTCTTACCTCAGTGCAGAAAACTTCGTTGATAAAAGTAGTACTAAGGTCATATAAATGCCTGTTTTTCGACAAAATTAGTTGATTTAATGACCGTCAACGTGTGTTATCTGTCTGTAACAAAATCATGTGCTTGTAAATGTAACCATAAGGCATTCAAAATCAAACGGCTGTTCACTCATTTGAATTCGCTATGACAATGGATACAGACTTATGAAATAATAATCAACTTAACCGTAAAGAGTTTTCAAGATTATGAAACCGACATCCAGATGACATACATCATCATTTCAAATGTTATCGAAACACTGCCAATATAATACGAATTCTCCTTCAGGTCGATCAGATTGATTGTATGTATATCTCTTACTACAATTTACTTGGTTGTGGTTAGCAGAAGAATCCAGGACATGTGTTTAATCCTATTTGGGACTCGTCCTGGATTCTTCTGATAGGCAAAACCAAGTAAATTATCATAATAAATATTCAGGCAATATTGTGGCATCTGCATAAGAGCCCGTATGGCAATGGAGGTCAAACAATTCGATGCAGTAAAACAACGAAGAATTACAAGCATATCAACGAATAATAATATACTATTCCCGCCGATCATATTGATTCATACATGACGTGAGGTGACGTATTGATGATATGTTGTTATTGTCACATCATTTGACAAAACGATAGTTGTCTAGCCAAATAGGAGCAGAAACAATGTACACCATTCGCACACACAAAGTAGACATTTTCTAATGACAACAAGACACATCTTAGAGTGGGTAATTTTTACTGAAACATCAATAAATGATATGGAGTCATTCGTCTGTGTTGTATCACCAGAGTGCCTGAGTGAAGTTGTAGTTCACTGGCTTTTATTGACACTATATGTGTTAACTTGGCAACGTTGAACCTCGTTTCAGCTACCTATTTTGAGCTGCCAGGTAGTATCTCATTAGCCTTCACTGCATAGTGTAAAAACCGAGTGACTCTGATGGCCATCCTAGCAAATACTGGGATTATCAATTAGATTCCATTATTTTATTTTTAAAAACACCTTCTTGGCCTAAATATCGAAACCTGATTGTTTATTTCAGCAGTTTAAGGGTGACGTTTAGAGCCATTCTGGAAATCAATACTTGGTTGATTGTGGATTGTGAATATTTTTCTAAATTTACTTTGATTTCTATTCTACATTCATAGACAGTGCATCGTATGATAGATAGCCTTCAGAGTTTTCTCACGCTAGTCAATATGACATGATTTATATGCAGCGACTTGTACAGTGTTTAATCATTTAAGCACTGTTACTGAGTAGTGTAAGCATTAAAACTATTGTACATAATTTGTGAGAATAACTAAAAGACTGTTTGGTACTAGCCATTGTTACAGGCACAAACACTCATCTGTTTGTGCTCAAATTTTGAAATCGGGAATAAAAATTTAGACAATGACTGTAATCTCATTTAGAGACATTGATTTTTAGAAAATAATTTAACTCCTATGGCACCTTGCTCTTAAACGTTGTGTTTACTTGTGCAAGACGAGAAACTCAAAAATGTTTTTTTATTCTGTAGCCTTATGTTTCTGATTCAGTTCGTTGACAGCGTAAACTGAGGAACTTAGACCGAAAAATTGGAAATGTAACTGACTTCAGAAAACTGGTTGAAAAATTCATTTATTACTCTGTTTGAGGGTCTAAAAGAGGAAAAGGTCTCTGTCTGGTGTTAATAAGTCAATACCAAAACGCTTCCTACTGGAAATCACGATCCTGCCAAACCACACCGACGATACCTTTGATATGTATCAGTATTTTTAGTTAACGACAGGAGTCTAGTTGCAGGGAATCAACTCTTGGGAAACAGTCAAACAGTTGAGTGGTGTTGAGATACTTTCGAACGGGAATAAAAAAAATCGGCCACGGTGAGTTTAAGGAATCACTGTTAGTCATCAAATAATCGTGAAGCTCTGTTTAAATTACACTTTTTCCCGAAGAAAAAAACAACATAATTGCTTTGAAATTTCATTTTACAGGTGATAATTTGACTGCACCAGTCAAACAACTGATTGTTTATTCGCCTAATTTATTCGCGTTTCTTTACGTGCACAAGTGCGTAATTAACTTGGCTGGGTGCACACATACAAATCTGTCTAGAATATTTTCTATCATGCTTCACAGTGTTGGTCTTGGTGATCCAACAGCAGCCACAGTCGTCTATCCACATTTTACACCATTCCCGCCTACAAATGCATCATCGCTCACCAATTCGCTTAGTCCAAATGAGACCTCTGGTCAGTTCACAAATACCAATGGTATGTATACATCGACTACAGCAGCAGCTGCGGTAGCCGCATTGACTGCAGCTGCAGCCGCTTCTGCTGGTCTGCCATCAAACATTAAAGATTCAAGATGGTTAACACTAGAAGTATGTCGGCAGTATCAAAGGAATCAGTGTTCACGAGATGAAAATGAATGCAAATTCGCTCATCCGCCAACACATGTTGATGTGCAAAGTGGACGTGTTATTTGCTGTTATGATTCAATTAAAGTAAGTGAATCACTTATATTTGTCATTCATTTTATTAGCATTTCCGTTTACCATTGATAGCTGTAAGGTTTACAATAATGATTGAGAATATTTGTAGCTCAGAAGGATGATTCCATGGATGTTTAGTTCTCTGAGCTGGATGGTTTAATCATGAAGCCGTCATTGTCATCCTAGACAACATCATCTGCACAAACTTCAGAAAGAAGTGAGCTGCAAAGTTTTCTCAACAAGTGGCTTAATAGCTTATTCTAATGACTTTGTGTGCGATTGGTTGTTTCTATCAAAGTCTTGTCATTGTCTCTACATATATTTTCACTGACTGTCCTATTGATGTGAACTTTGACCTTGTCGTTCCTTATTGATTGGTTGGTCAATTTCATTATATCTATTGATTGCTGACTGACCTAAATACCAAGCTACGGGAAGTTGGATTAAGTTGGAAGAGGGTTTAGGGTGACCAGACCAAGATGTGGCACCAGTCGATAGAGTCTCTTACTGTTGGTCTGAGTTGTGTAGGGAGATGTAGACTACCTGGCTGCGGTCCTCGAGATGGAAGGAATTAGTGGTTGATGGCTCTTGACGACATGGCTGAAAATGAGTCACAATGGCGCACTCTTTGACGTCTTCTAAAGCTTGAGTATTTGCACTAACAGTTATCTTCACACAACTTTGTCTACTTTGCTATCAGTCTTTTTCTATCCACCTATTCTTTGTGTACTACTGTGAAGAGAGACAACTTGAGCTGATGCACTTGTGTGCGAGGTTCTATGTTGATTTCGTCAGCCAGTCAGGCTTCTAAAAAATTTTTGGCATTCTTTGTATTGCCTCTATCCAGGCTTTATACATTTTCCCAGTCAAATCCATATCCGCAGTTGCCTGAATGCTCTGATATGAGCAAAGATATGTCATGACACTTCACTGCTAGTTGGTTTTCATGTAGGTAGATACTAAGAAGGTGACCACTCTGTCCGGTAAAGTGTTTTTCACAGTTTCTGCAGTTTATTTTGTTGAAAATGTTTGGTTTATCTTCCTTTATTATTGGATCTTTTGACATGCACAACAGAGTGAAGAAATTTTGCAGACTTGTGAGCTAAAGCGATTCCAAAAGACTTCGATAATATAATCGTGACCTCAGAGACGTGCTTCGTGTAGAGTAATATTGGTTTCTAACACTTGCTGTCTCATTTTTTTTTATTATAGAATGAATTTGCCGCTTATATCGACGCTGGGGGTGTTTATGACACCATTTATAGCCATATCTGTTTGTAAAAAACTTTTTCTCTTACCTAGTCTCACTTCACGCTACCTTTCTGAACGAATGATGTTCAAAGGCTGTTAGAGATCACTACTACGTTTTTTTAGGCAAAGCTACCGACCGGTAGCGATGCCATACTATCGGTACTGACGTTCAATGGCATGTGTTTACCTATACTATAGATTAATAAAGTCTGTTGATCAGATTCAATATCTACTATCCTAATGACCACCTCCATCTGGAATTGTATTACAACTTTGAAACGGAGTACTGGAGAATAAACCGCTTAGGCAGTTTTGGGATATGCTGACAATAAATGGAGGAGGATTGTTGGCTTGGCGTCAGCTAGTTTTTCATAACTCAATATCTAGGGGCTTTGATAGAGATGTTACCTGATATATTTTCAGAAACTGCTGGGAATGAAAGTCAGTCGTGAAACGGTTGTGGACTTTCTGTCTCTCTTACTAAGAAAAACTGAGATCAGATGGTCCTATCTGATATTTAAAACTGATCAGTAAACATAAGAATTTAATAGAAATTGGTAGTACTAATGCTACAAGGGTGTGGTTGCGCCAACATGGATAACAATGTCAAGCATAGAGTTCAATTTAGCACGAAATACGTTTAGGGAGTATCACATTTGAGTCGCCAATTTGCAATAACTTTGTCTACCACAAATGACTGAATCACGTGGTTGGGCTGATTAACTTTAAAAATCACCCAAACAACTGCTGAGATAGCCAATTACTTTTCTTTATTTTGTGAAAAACTGCCTTCTCAGCCAAAATAGTGATGCGTGATTGGTTACTTCAGTGGTTGTTGCAGTGACCTTTAGAGTCATTCGATCCGGCTTGTTCACTGTTAACGCTGATTGATTTGATTTATATATATATTTAACTGTTAGTATAATAGTAAAGTGTGAAAAGGATCTCATTGAATACAATATTTTTTGCTTAGATGTCTTTTTCTAATTTACATGATGGGAGCTTTTAAAACTCAAATATAATCCGCCCAGTGTCGTGTGCTCAATCCTCCCAAACTATGAGTTACGCAATTCCGCCCTCTTAACCGTTTAAAAGAGGACGTAAACTCTAGTGCTTAATGTCAGCATATCTTAGCGATCGCATTCATCTGTATGTATCACCAAATTACTTTACCACAATGTGTCATAATTCATAAAAATGAAGCAGCGTATTCCAAGCACGAAGTATGGGATGATGCATAACAATTGGTTTTACTCAACATGCAGTTATTTCCAAAATCCAGGTCATAAAGAAATGCTTGGGGAGTCAATTAAAATCTCTTGATCCGAGCTATACAACAGCGTTGCCAATTAGGTCAAAAGTAAAATGACTTTCGACATAAATTAAATAATACTACCAGTGATATTTTTGACTTTTTGGCTGATACAACAGGGGCGGAGTAAGTAAGATTTTACACAACTGGTGTGCGAAGTTGATAAAATAATAATACTGGGTGATGATTGAAGATGAAATAAATACTAGTATTAATACTAGTCTGCTAAACTACCGCTCAGATAGTCAAATGATAATCAGTATGATGTCTTCCCCCTCTCTGATTCAGTTGGGTTTGGATTAGGATGAGAAATCCTGACTAGGCAGCCAGTGTGAATACGATCAAGCAGTAGTAACACGTAACTAATTCACATGGTAGTGGGGCAAAATCCTTGGTGATTAAAGTGAAATAGAATTCTGGTCAGCAGTCAGACCTCGTAGCTCAGTTGGTAGGGCATTAGGCCGGTAACTCAGTGATCGCTGGTTCGAATCTGGTTGCAGTCCAAATTTTCATTTCACCCTCAATCATCTCCCACTATAATATAATAATAGTAATAATAAAGACAACAGGGCTAATAATAAAGCAGTATAGGATATACCAAAAATCACAGGTTAAACTGTGATTCACTTCGGTAAATTGAGATAAAACTAAGTAAACTTCGCATAAATATGATGCATGATCGAGAAGAACAATAGCATGTAGAGATGGAGAACAAATTAACACGGAAACAGACAGAAATATAAAGGTACCAAGTAGTCAAGGCAATGGAGGGTGAAGCACAACGTCTTCTTGGCACGCATAGATGGAGTTTAAGGCAAGATGGATGGTAGTCATTGCTTCTGCAAAATATAAGCGTCTGCTGTTACATTGACCTATTTAAAACTGATAGTTTGTTGGTATGATCTTCATTCAAGACATTCTCGGTTATCTCAGTGATAGAATTTCTTATTTAACCATTTTAATCATAAGTCTAGATACTGGGTTATTTTGCGAATTATAATTTTCATAATTATAAAGCTAAATATGAAAGAAACTAATTTAATGCTTATGAATCGATGTAATACTTTTCTATATCTCAGTCTGTCTAATTCTTTGTGCACATTCAATAAAATGGAAGCTTATGCACATACACAAAGACTCACTAACACACATACACACAACATTAGTAATGACCATCATATTTATAATGTCTTGTAGCATACTGTACGTTCTACCCTTTTTTTATCAATTAATGCATACTACTATTCAACAAAAGAATTTAAATGAAAGAGTAAATTCGATGATTGCAAGAGATAAAACTGTGCACGTATTTCCACGAATTCGCTTCCCATTCTTTTGTTGTTATTTGTTTTAAAATCCTTTTATGATTTAGTCATATTGTACAAAAATTGACTAAAATCTGATTATGTTTTAGTGAAAATTAAAAGTTAATCAAAGAAGATTTTTAAGGGGAAAAAAAGCTGACTGAAAATTTTTTGAGATACGTTTACTATTTTTTTTACTTGACTTTTTTTCCCGTCTCCTTTGATTGTCTAATTTTCGAGTTAAGCATACTGTGGTGTGGACAATAACATGAGCCTTACCCTCATGCTAATCAAATTGGATTCAATTTGACCTCACTACTATATATGGGTTGGTATTTTTAGGTGATATATATGCTTTTTAAAATCAGAAAACTGACTACCATAAACTTTGGTATGAAAATTGAGAGATTCCTGGTATTCTAGTGTGTGTGGCTTGAACATTATGCTGATGCGATGATTACCGATTACGTCAACTTATTCCTTGTCCCTGTTACCCTTAAATTTAGACTGTAATATGCAGATGAATGCCAACGAATTCGTTGGCTGTTACAGCAATGAATAATTCTAGTATAAAAATGTAACATTTACCAAAACATTGCTGTGAAGGTGATTTGAATAATCTCAATTTTACGACTAATAATGCATTAAGAATATCTAACGTGTTGTCAAGGTATTTTATCTAGCAGAAAAAATACACTATGAGCATCTACAGACATTTGTAAACATTAGTGTAGGTTGACTTTGAAAAGCATAGCACGACAAGAAGCATTTAATATTGTTTTATCTTGAAATTCAATAGTGAATTCAAAGAGTTGTGGCATAAAACTCTTTTATCATTCAATATTATCATTTTTTGGTGCATCCATCTGAGAGGTTATCTAATATATCCGTATACATTGACAAACAGTTGTCTCATTTGTTGGATAGAGAAATCAAAATTAAGCTTATCAAATATAAGTGTGATATTGTTTTCGTAACTGAGGTCATTAATGATTTCATGACGCACTAAGAGGGATTTCAGTAAGTAATGTTCATCTTTATCAAGTTTATATTCTGCAAACAGTTCATGGTGTTTTTGAAGTTTATTTTTTTAAACTCACTGATGGTACATTTCTTCTTCCAAGATTGCATATACCTCTTGCTGGCGTGTACATCTACACGCACAAAACCTAAGCCAAGGACAACTTACCAACTGCACTCAAACTGAAGCCTTCTTGGTGATGAGTGTAGACGAACAGGGCGCCTAGGCCCAGAACTTCCTGTCGGACAACCACCCTATTTTTCTCTACCATTCCACTTCATCGACTTTTATTTTTGACTGTAATAGAAAGGAAGAAGTAGCACACAATACAGTCAAGGAAATCATCTTTTCTTCCAGATTTTCTTGTTTATTTCTCTCAGTTATTACAACCTTACCATTATGATTGCTTTCCCATTTCCCTTTCTCGTTCATATCTGCGTAGATTCATTCACTTGGTATCGCTGTCCTAGTTTTCGGTTAGGATATCAGAATAACAAGTTAGGTGCATATTCTGGTATTCGTGCTCTTTTTCTCTCTTGCTTCCCCGCCCCTCTCCCTTCATCTTTCCTTCCTCTTTACCAGTATTTATTTTACTTTAGTGTACTACTTTTAAATTCGAAGTAATTGTAAATGACTACTAGTCAGCATTGATGATTCCAATAAATGGGTTTATCTGGATAGATTGTGGACTGATGTTTTGTTAATATGCTAGCAACAATGTTTTTCCTTTCCTTCTTGTTGTTTTTCTTACTGATAGGTAAGTTTTCTTCATGTGCACTTGTTCCATTGATAATATGTCTATTGTTAAACAATCTGTATAGGCCATACTAAATGTCACTTATTAGATTGTAAGTTTAAGATACATAAATATTTTTCAGTTGATTAATCTGCAGGGGAATGACTGACTGAAATTATTGAGACCTTCATTCATATCAACTGGAGAAGACCTGAAAATCAGAGAGAAGTAGACACTTGTTTTCTTTGTGTTCAAAACGCCTTGGTAACTTTCAAGCTGCAATTCAAATATTCACAGTAGTGGTTCACTGGTCCTCAATATAAAAGCGAAATTCCGGTACTGCGGCAGAGTACAATTCCATTTTAGTTCTTCAATTATTTGTATCGCCTGATGAAACAGTATCACTTATTGGATTTAGTTTTCTTTAGAGCGGATGGAATCATAATTTACACACCAATGAGAAAGGGTGCTCAAAACTTGTTCTAATCGTGACCGTACACATATGCTACCACGACGATCTGAATTCGCTTATTTATAAAGTTTAAGTTCAATATTCAGATGTTGATGCTAAAATAGTTTATGCATCTGATAGTATGACTTGCTACTATTCACTTTGTAAATGATCGAGTTTTTTTGTTGTTTGAATGAAAAAACAACTAGGGTAAATGTCAACGTCGTGATCCACCATGCAAGTATTTGCATCCACCACAGCATTTACGTGAACAGCTAATACAGAACGGACGAAATAACATGATTATGAGAAATGTACAGTTCCAGTTATTACAACAGCAATTATTAGCTCAGAGTGGTGTTGGCTCATTAGCTGCAGCTGCTGCGGCGGCGGCAGCCGCTGCAGGTGGTGGTGGTGGCCCGAATGGAGTGAACCCGACGCAGGGAACACTGACAAACAATTCTAATTCGGTGAGTATTCATTAAAATTTGCATCGTATCTTTTATGACACTTTGATCGAAGTACCAGGAGAGGATATTTTTGCCATATACTTTCGATGTCCCTTAGTTCATCTTTGGTTACTTAATCGAACAAAATTTCTATGCAGTGGATTATTAACACCTCGGAGGATTAGTAAAGATAGTGAGGATTAAACTCAAGTAAATACTATTTTCAAGAAGTCAGCCACTAACAATCTCCCAACCATTTTACTATATGAGTTTTTGAAAGGAACCAGAAAGAACCAGTGACAGATATCTTGATATTAAAAGCTATGACCACTGGTTGAAAATTTTCACTTATGCAGTATTGGTAGTGGATTTCCATTTGTCTACACGGTTATCAAACTAATGACCTCTGAAAGTTTATCCATGTTAACACATTAGTTTGATTTTGTTATTCGGAAGAGGAAAGAGAAGGAGGACATCTATGAAGATAAATTGCATAAAGGAAAGCTGACAACGTTCTTAAAGTATATTGAATGTAATGGGTGTATACGAAGAGGCATCCACAGAGTCATTTTATTCAAGCGGAGGAAAAGGCGGTTAAGTAACACTTTTATGGCTTTGAAAATTGAATAGATCTTCAAGGAAAAAAATCTAGTGCCAAGACTGATTTTAAAATTGACGTTTCTCAACAGTAACTTATACACTTTGTATTGTACAAGATGCCAAGGTTTTCATTACAACATAGACAAATACGATGTACCTGCCAACCACATGTGGTTTTGTGAAGTAACAGCCATATGATCACGACATTTAAGTACTTTCATGCTGTATTTTCTTATGAACGATCCTATGGGTGATCTCTTAACTCGATTGGGTGCATAAGCAGTGGTAAATAGAGTTAAACCAGGGAGATTATTCTCGCTGGAACCTTACGCTCTGATTTTAGTTTTGACTACAAATTTTTGTTTATGATCTCGATAGCCTCTTAGTGTATAAGGTGAATAATTCAAAAAGTCAATTTATATTACTATGCGTACTTAATTAAAAGAAGTGACCGTTGTAGACTTTTCACAGACGTTTATAGTAGTACTTCCCCGCTTACACTAAACTGTGTTGTTAAGCAGAACATATTCTTTTTGTGTTACCTGTGAATTATAAATGTCTCTTTGAACTGATCACTCATTTTCATCTTTCTAACTTTATTTGACTCTACTTTCTACCGAGCGTCAGAAAGCAGCTGCATTTTTCATCGGATTAGTCCGTGAAATAATATAGTTGGTAGGATTTTTGTTCTGATTTATACATATATGAACAGTTGGAGACAACCTGTAGGAATTTGTGGACACCAACTGCATTTCATACCTTTTGGAACTCATCAGAAGGGCATAAATACATAATCTGTACGATTTGTGAATAATTAGCGAATTGTTAGTTCATAAAATGTAGCTCTGTAACAGCCGGTTATTTCATAATCTCATTCACACACTTTCATTATAAAGTGTAAGCGGATTGTGACGTTGGGTTGGCTTTGGACATTACGAGTGCTTGGATGCTAAATCTATATTTACTGAATTAAAAATAAACTAGGTAAGACATGGACTTCGAGAGATACATCTTAATCCTTTTGTTAAGCCGCAACCTTATGTGGAGGTGACATATAAAACTACTAAGTTATGAGATGAATTCAGTGAACATAATAGCTTATGACTCCACTTTGGTTTTCAAGGCTAAAAATCCTCTGGAATACAATTTAGACTCAAGTTCTATGATCTTGATAGTTGACAGTGACCTACTCCTATGCAAAACTTTTCCATCATAATTAATGAGTTTCTGTAAAGTCACATACCGATCGTCTCTACAATCCTTTGATTTCTCTAAAATTTACTTATCTTATATTTGTCACTTTTCGTTTCCAGAGTTGAACAACATGAGAAATTCTGTAAGGAAATAACAAATATTATTGTAGGCTAGTCAGTTGTGTATTGATTTATGCGGTAAAATTTCTTTGAGTTGTATAGTATTTGAAGTTGAAGAATTATTCTAGTTTGAAATCAGTTTCATCGACGTATAGTTTTACAAAACACTTTTGTGTGTATGTGTGTGTAGATTTTCCGTGAATTGCTTGTTGTTCCTTTCTTCTTTCAATGTAGATTTCACTCTTGCCTTTCAGCATGATAATTTGTGTGTATGTGTATGTATGTGTGTGCGCGTCAAAAGGCAGTGACAAAACGTTAGCTCAGAGTAACACATAGAGTTTAAATTTATTTTTCAGATGTCTTGAGAACAAGAAGTTCTTATTTATGAATCGCCTTACTATAAATAGAAGTCAGAGTCAACTTCCTAGAAGTCTCGTCCTAAATGAGTGAATTGCTTCTACGTCAGTTGATACCGCTCAGTATGGACATTTGATATCAAAGAGTGTGGGAGAATCGCATGACACTCCACTAGAGTATCTACACGTAAATCATGTCCATCTCAGGCAGAGACTAACAGTTTCACCAAAAGATGCTTTTGCTTCCTAACTGAGGACCTTCGTCTCATCGTCATTAGTCCCTAATATATTAGTAATAATTAGCAGTATATTAGTAATGACCACTTGAGAGTTTGAGAGCTACACACACTAGTATAAACCATTTTCAGCTACCCTTAGCTTGTTCACAGATGAATAATAGGATTCTTCTGCGTTTATGGTCCTGGACGTATCTGATACTTGGCGTCTTATAGGACTTCTGTGTTACGATAGCACAATAGCCCAGTATATCTGGATTTTCAGTGGTTTTTTATGCGATGTAAACCTACATATGGGACTGTTGATTGGGATTTGTTAATTCATGTTGTATACGTTAATGATCAATAAAGTGTACTCACAGAGATAAACTAAAGATTAACATAAATGTTTCCGAAAATACCGTCCTCCAACACATCTTTTTAAATTTTAAGACAATAAATGAATTCTACTGAAAGTATTCACTGAACAAGTAGAAATGTTAGACATCAGTGTATATTCGGTTTTGCCATGTTAACAGTTAGCATAACTTATCTCTATATCTGAGGGAATCTGCCTTAATATTGAATGTTTGGCAAATGATGAGTGTAAACTAGGTGATTTGAAGGATGGCCTTCATGACAGATTAATGTAAGCTTGAAGAATCAATGAAAAATATGCCCAGTGCAAAAGCTACCTTCTTGTAGTCTGAGATTGCCAAGCACTTTACAACTCCTATAACTGAGTCAAGAATTTTGAAATCTCACAGTCAGGATGTCATCATTCACGAACTAGCATGAAATTTACTATTCCATTTTTGGCTTCTGTCACTGTCGGATATAAAACACGGGTCGGAAGATTTTTGTTCACTAATCCCCTGTATTTAATATTACTTAGATACTTTTGGAAAGCTGATACCTTTTACGATAATGTATCTGTTTAGATTAGTGAGTTGAAGGTCATCCGTAACCTTGAAGCCGATTTTCATTGTAAATTAATACCGACTGAACAATAAAAGCTTGATATGATCACGGTAGATACTGAAATGCTTGAGTATGGTTTTAAGAACTGCCAAAGAGAAGACATGCAATAGGACAAAACAACCGATGACATGTAATATTCGTCAAATTTGTAATCACTTGTGATATAATATATACCTGCATGCAGACATTCGCATTTAGTCGTTATTATCATAAAAATGTTTAGACTATTTTCAGAAATGCATTTCAACTGGTTGGTTTATTTTTCGTTGGTGGCGAAATGGTTTGAAAGCAGTTAACTTCCAGTTACTTCAGCACTTTCATTAGTTCAATGATAAAAATGCCCTTTCTGCTATATTTGCTTCAGATTAATATCGTACTTTGAAAGCTGCATGAAATGGTAAATACATCGGATCGTAATTAGAACTTACGGTGTATTGTTTGTATAGAGATTTCAGCTACACTTATATTTCGTTTCATCTTCAAATCACTGAGGAACTTTGGTTCATATTGATTTTCATAGTATGAATTACATATTTATATTTATTTATATGTGTTTGAATTAACCCTCGGTTGTACTACTGAGATGTCTAGAGTTGGGATATTCTATTGACAATCCTGAAGCGATTAGAGAGAACAATAAATACAATAACAGGATTTATGTACTCAATCAGTTGAGTATTGGGGGGCGGAGGGCGTTAAATGGGATGAAATTAGACGAACACACTAAAAATAAATTTATTTAATCAAAGTTTTCAATGTTTATACAATGTTTACAAAGGACAAATAAGTGAATAAATCATTGACTGAGTGTACTCCTTAAGCCTTACATTCTTTCATAGACACAACAAACATCGTTGTCCCATGGATAGTATGTAAAACTTGTTGAAATTCTGTTGTTAGAGTAACTGTTGAGATTCTGATAACTATCTTTTTCAGCTACAGCTATTTCAAATAGGCTCATTATTTTCGTATGGTATTATTGATTTCACCTCAATTCTTTTACCAGTTCGTTGTATCTGTCGCTTAACTCCCATGCATATTCACTCACAGTCACAAACATTCAGCTCACTGTGATCAACTTGCTTACACATATAGGATAGATCTGTTAATGTGTATTGTTTGTTTTGGAAGACACTGAAAAATGATGAGTATTATATCACAAATCAATTAAATTACAGATAAGTCCTTACTAGTAAGTCGTAAATACTAGCGCAATAATGAGATCACCATATGCGAAACCTGACGGCTATAATCAGTCCAGGTTTGTAAGGAATTGGATGCCTATACCTTCAAGGAAAAAGGGAAAGACCAAACAATCCTTGAATAATAGTTCATCGACTAGTACCATTTCTTGTTGTTTACACTTATTTACAGTTCTTTCCTAAATTTTGCCACTAATGTATTTCGTTAGTAAAAACTGTTGATTAGTTAGATAAACGTTTTCGCTTAAATCCTCCTTTCACTTGATTTCTGTTTATTTGCTTTTTTATTTAGCTTGTTTACACAACACCAGCTGCTTTAGCACTTGGCAGTCAGACTGCTCCACCTGCTTATCCACTACTTGTAAGTAGTTGCTGATTGGTAATTCTTTGTTTTTCTTTTAAGACTTATTGTTTCTTATAGTATATATATATATAACGTGAATTATTTAAAGCTATCCTGTCTCTTTTATATGTATTTAGTCAGAGGAGTGTTTAACCAGTTTGTCACATTTTTTGTCGGCTGATTGTGGGAGCATACTGTAGAGCTGAACAATTTATAACTCTGAAAGTTGATAACATTTTATCATGATTAAGAAGACACCATCAGAATTAGGTATATATCACTATTTGCAAAATACATCTGTAATTTACCAAATGATTGAAACCTGAAGTCAAAAACTTATTAATTACTTTTATGCTACTCAGAAGTAGTACAACTTTAAACACAAAATTTGTTCTTCCGGTCGGTGCTTCTGCTATCCATCTTTTGCTTTGATTTCACCTCAGCAGGTAAATCATTGATTAATTCATAGCAGTAATTTTGATCTAACTACCTGATAATTTGAAGGGTGGTTAATTGGTTTCTTATCCCATTCCCATTCTTTTACGCACTAGTTCTGATTTTGGAGAGGGGTGTTTGTTTTGCTTTACTTTATATTGTTTGGTTTATTATAACTAACTGCTGTTCCTAATAACGATAAAAACCAAAATAACGATGACAAAACTGAAATGCTTGATCATAACAATTTCTAGGGTGAAACTAATGTACATGCTCGTTTGTCTATGTGCATGATGTTTGGGTTGTTTACCTTGTATTTACTATCTTTTCTACATTGTTGTAATGACTATCACTCAAAATTTTTAGGAATTCACTAATGTATACTTTGGATCTCGCCTGCGCTTATATTAATATTCCTGTTGTTAATATTGTTATCACTAATGTATCATGATGATCAACGTCATTTGTTTGTACTGCACTTTTCTTGTACATCTACTTCTTTATCCACACATATATATGCCCATATACACCATTTTCTCTGTGTTTGCGAGCGCACTTGCTTGATGCAGTTACCTGGTGCACTCTCTTCCGTCAGTGCTTTGTGTTTATTTTATACTTCAGTCCTATTAATCAACTTCATTAACATTAGACTCAATAAATGATAGAAATTTGTATTATGTGAGGAGAGACATATCATTACTGAAGACGGCAACAGTAAGTGAGAAAATCACAACGACAACAACTGCCACTACAATAACAACAATGAAAAGACCGTTGAATTTTATTATTCACAATATTCAGTTAGAAATGGAGCCACTATTAAGAAAAATCTCTCGTCATATAAGTTCAGATACTTTGAAGTCTGTAATAAGTGATTAGATATCAACATAACTGTAATGATAAGATGCATCAAGAAGGATCGCTGACAAAAATCTTACAACTGAACAAAACAGGAAATAATAGGATAATTCTTTTATTAGGACTGTTAGGTTATTCACTAATTCTTTTCTCGCCCTTTCTACTTGCTTGGTCGAAGTAGAGACTTATTTTCAGCTTGCGATATCGTAGTTTACACTGGCTTAAGTTTGTTTTCTTTTGATTTTACTGATTTCTAGGTGTGTTAGTTGCTTAATGGATAGGTCATGTAGAGTTTTTTGTACGTTGATAAGCCACTGAAGAGCAACTAATGTTCTGTTCTCTGACCGTTAGTGCCGGCAAAACTATGCCAATCATGTCAAATATTAGGTTAACAAGCTAAGAAACTTACCATTATGATTCAATTTTTCTTAGGTAGTTGAAGGTGAGTAGTATCTTCACCCTTGAAGGGAAGGATACTGTCTTGCTGATGAGAGAAGCTGAACTGCCTGCTGCCTGTATCTGATCATGTTTAACTTCCTTCACTCCAAGACTGTCAGTAACTGAAGTATGCTTTGTGCGTGTATGAGTGTACTTAAGATCTACTTTTATTAGAAAAGCAGTTCACTGGTGTGGCGTGAGTAGTTCGGTGAAAAGATTAAACAATAGGATGTAACTAATCAGGAAATCTTGGTATGATCAATTACTCTGCTTCCATTAGATAAGGATAAATATAAAAGTTTCCATTCACAACTATGATTAGGACTTTATTCATGCGTTTACTTCTATCTGAAATGCTAAGAATACCAATGACAAATTCAAAGCGTATAATCCAGTTGAAAACTTCAGAGTAAAGCCCTTACTGAATAATTGTTTCTTTGGAAAAGTTACCTGTTTCTCCATTTTAGCTGTTGGAATCATTCTAAATTTATCAAAAATTTTCAAAAAATTAAAAACCTGAGTATTTGATCACACTGGCAATCCTTGTTCCTTTTTCAAAGATGATGAACAAGTTTGCCTGTTTTATTATTTTCCAACTTCATAGCTAGTGAGTAGCATATTCATTAGTTCTTATGATCCTGGCCTCGACTCCGTATATGGTCACATTTTTACACTACTAAGATGAGAAATTTGTCAGCTGAATTTTGGTCTCCAGTAGTTTTTCAATAGACGTCATTTTTTCTTTATAAGCATTTGGGTTTTTTATTTGCTAAGTAGTAGAGAATGTTAACCTAGAATCTCTAGGCCAATAGACAATGAGAGATTATGCTAAAGTTATATTGGTACTTCATAAATGAATTTCACTATACGCTTGACATAGTTTATAGCCCGGATTTTAAGTTCAAAATTAAAATGCTCACCATTTATTCGCTAAATTTGTTGTCTATGAATAATTCGGTCTACAAATTTTCACTTGAATAACTAACTAACCGGTTAATACATAAATTGATGATATTCCACTGGTTATATTTACAGCATTTCTCACTGATTTTCAGTAGATATCAACTACCAGTTTCACATTAGAAGAATCTGATAGACTGGCAACCCAAGAATTGATTCAATTTTCATCATTTACAGTTGGTTTTCTATCGCACTAACATTAGTGTTAACACAGTATCCTTTATTTTAATCCATTCAACAGTGTAGATTTTCGTTTACTGACAGTGATCTGCTTTCTTTGTCTTCTAATCAAATTTGCAGTAGAGATTTCAACGAATATACTTTGGAGATTATATTTGTATCGTAAATTTTATCGAGAGAACTGTCAATACAGATTATGAAACTGGATAACTTTTATAGCGCACTTGGTGCTTGTTAAGTTATACACCAAATATATAATACGGGAGTCGATAAAGTGGGTTGTTTTGAAAGTCATGATTAAGTGGCTAGCAGTTTATGGACTAAACGACTGAGTCATGCAGAAAAAATACCATTAGACAGTAAAAATAGCAAATTATTCATAGATAGCACTTTTAAATCCATGATGGGTTGATTCAACCGATTTTCCACCGACTTGATTCATCAATTCACTGAGTTTGAGAAATCTATCACTAGCTAGGTAAAATAGTGGAGGAATACTGATTGATTCTATATTAACTAGCGTTTATAGTGAAATCGGGCGGTTATTTTACTCCAGATTGAGCTATACGTACAAAAACCTTCTCCAGTTTGCTTTTCTTCACTGAGTACGTTTGTGTTACTAGCAAGACTATGATGAATGGAAAATATTTTGTCTACTGAATATTCTAGATTTGATTTTATATCTGACTATTTTTTCTGTACACATGATTTTGTCTATTCATAAGCTCTAAACTCAATTTTAATAAAATTGCCAATACCTCACTTTTTCTTAGGCGTAGTGATATTCATCCCTTATAATATTATTCAGACAACCTGGAAGATAACATCTTGAGTACTAGTAGAGATTTCATAGATTTTGAAAATACGAAGGGAATACATTAGGACACTACTCAGTCAACTAACTTGTTGATTTGCCACTATCAGCTGAGTAACTCATTTCATATTATCCGTAATGCTACTTCCACTCTGCTAAAGACAACCTATACTCAATGTGAAGGGTATTCAAATGTATCCGATTTCATCTGAACAGAAGGATATATGGATACGTCTTAGCGTTGTTTTGAATAATTTATGTACCTATTTTTAACCGAATCAATTTATCGATAAATACTTGTATGTGCATTTCATGAAATGTTTAATTTGCTTCAGAATATCGGCTTTGCGCCTTATTTGAGTGCGATCACAGCGTCTGGGATGACAAGCTTACACGGTGTTCCAAATCTACCCACGCATATATCTACGAGTACACCACGTCATTTGATCAATACTGGGAATACAATAAATGGTCTATCGAACAAGAGATCTAGTCTACCAGAAAATAAAAGTGATTTTCAATCAATATACGCTCCACGTGGTGCTGTAATGACACAGGTCAATGGAAATAAATTAGATTCTCAAAATGATAATCATCATCATCACCAACATCATTTAAATGGTGGGTCGACAGTATTGATAAATGGTAGTAACAGTAATGAGACAGGAAAAGTGAAAGAACACAGTCAGTCGCCTGGAACACGTGTTAGTTCTGCTGTTTCAAATAGTACCAATTGTGGTGGAGCTGGTGCCACTAGTGGCGGTGTGAATAGCACTAACGGAAATAATATGGCTGCAACTGCGGCAGCAGCTGCGGCTGCAGCAGCGTTTTTTAGCTTACAACAGCAGCAGCAACAACAACAATCACAACAGCAGAATTCCATTAACTTGGGTTTGCCACCACATCCACATTCTATTCCACTGACAGCAGCATCCTTAGCTGCGGCAGCATCATTAGCAGCTGCAGCTAATGGAGTTATTGGACCTCATAACACCTTGTCATCTCCTTTCCCCGTTGCATTACCTGATCATACAGGTTATTTTCAAACTCCTTGTAAGTTGTAACGATATATGCGATTGAATTTATCTGTTTAAATTGTAAAGTTTAATGGAGGAAAACTGAAATGCTAGTTGGTAAGAGGGGGCTGTCGTTAGTAGTGTTGTTTAAAACTGTCTCCTGAAACTAATGATTCGTATGATATAACTCATGGTAAACCATGGTCCAATTTGTCGTATGGAAAGTAGAATAATATGCTAACTCAGAGTGTAGGCTCTTATATTCCAATGTTTTCTGGGATTCATCGAGAAAATATTTGGACGTTTCCTAATTTGACACCTTGATAACTTGGGATCAAATTTTAGAAAAGAGCGCTGTTGTGTGTCTCAGTAAAGACATAACTACCCATGATAAATATTTTTATCTTAATGTTCTAGTTAGATTTTACAATCACTCGATTTTGTAAGGCTGTACACAACATCATCTTGCATTCAGATTGCGAAAGTCAAATCAACTTTCTGAAAACGTTTATACTTATCCAACTTATTGGATAAAAATTTCCGTAGAAGGAATAAGGATGAATTAACCGTATAATATGCGATTCTAAGATTTTCTTCAAGAAGAATTGGCTTAGAAATAATGGGAACTACTGTTGTAAATTTCAGTTAGTTGATACCAATATGGGACTGGGATTACGACTTAAGACTTCAAGATGCCACAACGGATATCAACGAGGAGACACAGAGATGGAAGATATGAGAGTGTAGAAGAAAGTAATCGAAAGAGGTAGATAGTCATGGTGAGAGAGCAAAGAGGAATGAGAAAATAAGAAAATTCGGCTTGACCATTAAGATACATCTGTACCACTGAGATTGATTCTGACCGACATCACGTACAGTTTGTAACCATCAGTCTCAGATGTCACGCGGACCCAAACCGGGATGCCTACATTTCTATACATGGCTCAGACCAACAGACAGAAGTTTCATGAAGGGATATCATGTCTTAGTGTGGCAAGTCCTAACATTTGTTCAGCTTTGACCTCCTTCAACTAGTGTTACACGACGAGACAGATGGTGACAAGGCTCGCGTATTTCATATCCCAGCTACCCGAGTCGATGAAGGTTCACAACATGATCATCTGACAACCCTCTTCTCCGTAAAACTCTAAACTCTGACTCCGTCACTGACGTACTGGTACCACAACACAGTCTGTACTACGAGAACAACAGTTGCCGAACATCTGAAGCCTTTTTATACCTTCCAAACTTAATGTTTTACAGCTATAAAGTAAAACGGAGCGAACTACAGCACAGTTGTGCACCCATGGATACTCGACCGTGGAGTCGGCGAAGAGACACCTATTTGTGAGGGCTGATGATACTAACTGGTTTCCCAAATCTCGGTAGGTGGGGCGGAGTTCAATTTCGTAACCCACTGGTTGGTGGTCGAGTGCCTAGACCAGTGAGTCACAGCTCGACATCTTGCGGTACTGCAATGTAATAACAAAAGACAGATAGTTCAATTTAGGAGCTGGCATGGAATCGAATCACTTCAAGTTGCCATAAATAATAGCACCATGCAAAGAAGAAATGGTTACAAAAAGAGTGGTGTTGGAGTGGAAAAAGTGAACATATGAAGGTTAATTGAGCGTTCAAGACTTTGGAAGGGACAAATAACATATACAACTGAAATATTGATCTGTTTTGAGCCATCACCAACAATTTCTAATAGATGATTCCTATCATCTCTAGAGCCCGAGTCAAGTAACTTACATGTGCCTAAATGGCTCAGCATACCATATTAAAACTTCGTAATCTAGTGGTCTCATCGCTTTTAAATTTCTTCCAATCTAGTCCTAATTCGGGAAAAATGTTGCGTCTTAGTAGGCGTCAGCACGGTATGAGCAATGCATACCCAAGCCGTCTAAGTCGGTGAAGGTTCACAACTTCATCGACTACTCTGTCTTCCTTGCCTAACACCCTACGCCTAGCCACGCAATTCCTGACAGAATTATTCCACTATATGTGAGGGATGTGTATGAAGACATCGATTAGCAAAACCCTGTGATCTTCTAACGTCTACTTTTAATGAATATGTTTCGTAGCGGTACGATCCAAAAAAGCGGACCACTGCCCATTATACTCGTTCACTGATAGGTGGTTAGTTATCTCGCTGACACCAGAGATGTTTTAAAGTGGCGATTATCAAACGGACCTGATGCTTCCAGTCTGAAATTTCAGCACCAACCGGTCGATTTTCACTCATACAACTTAAGTAAACAGAGTGGCCAACGTATTCTACCACCTGACTCCCAATTTTTTACTGGGAGTTATCGCAGACCAACCCTGAAGCAACATCTTGCACTTAACGGGTGCCATACTCATCTCGAATATATTCAGATTCCTGATCAAGACGTTTAGAAGACTCTATATTTTATCACCATTTTCGTATAACAGGATTGTGTTGTTTGCAGACTCTAAGTCAGCCACATTTCTTCCATGGGTTAGTCGATCCCGGAGAAGTTGGAGGTACGCAACGTTATTTCCATCGGCACATCTATAACAAAGTTAAATAAAAATGTTGACAGTGGACGTCCTTGCCTGAAGACATTAATTGTCAGTTCAGATGACGACTTTGCATAGTTCTTGCACTCCTGTCTGTGTTCTAGTAGAAAAACTTGATAAGCATGATATTCTTCTTTTGTACTGTCTTCACACTCGGACATTGTCACAAAATCTGTCGATCGACAGAGTTGAATGCCACTTTTGGGTCGAAAAATAGAGCAAGTATCAGGCAATTGTTGGTATCTTGTGTTCCATAATCCACCAAAGAGTGAAGACACTTTATGCATCCTCGTTCACGTCTGAAGCTTGTTCAGTTTCATGGGGTTTTCTTCTCATACTCGAATTAGACATCATATAACTATGGAAAGCGTCCATCGGACTGTGGCTGCCACGGAAAACTTTTATGCTTTCGTGTTATCCACAATGCTCAAATGTCTGGACCAGCCAGATGGAACTACATATATCTTCCGTGTAACGACTGTGAGGTCAAGTACATAAGTCAAACTAGCCTGTCGGGGTCAGTTAGAATAGTCGAACATTCAGCTAAATCCAGCTAAATATAGAATGACAGACCCCAATAAGATCAATAATCCAGAAAAAATCTCGGCTATTGCAATGCATGCATTAATACACAACCACGCAATAGGGTAGGATAAGGCCACTGTGCTTAAGTCCAATATAATTAGTTGGAAAGAGAGATTGATTACTGAATCTTTGTTCATCGAATCAACACGCAACACATGTAATAGGAATGACGCAACACCTATACCAGAGATATGGAAAATTTTGCTACCAATAAAAACAACTCATGTGAGGTGATATAACTATAAAAATCAAATGTCGAAAGTAGTGTGGTATGATTATGAGCAATGGTAATTTACGCTCGAAATTTTATCAATTAAATAATACTAGATCACTATGTGTTATAAATCAAATAAACAAATCTAATATGGAATTAAATTCTAACACACCTATTTTAATGGAACTACCTATAATCCTCATACAATAACTAGTAATTCACTCTCCTTAGTAACCGTCTACATGTACCTTTAAAAATCTGGAGGCGAATCATCAATTCCTATTACTTCACTTCCTTTTAGGTTTGAAACTTATTTCTTAACATAGAAGGTAGCTTAAGCAACGAAAACTTCGTCCGATTCGCATTCAAACTGAATGCTGGACAAATGAAGCTTGAACATAGACCACTTGGGCTGTTCTCAAGAATGCTCGACCTCTACCTAACGTTCCAGCCACCTGTCGTTAAAGCTTTTATCAAGGACTGTTCTCCTTGGCGACAGTTTCACTGATTACCACTTTTTATGTTTGCATCTCTTTAATGAGCCTAAATAACTACCGAGTATCGCCTAGGATCCATGCCTTTCCCACCCCCTTCGAGTGCACCACTCAACACTACACGTGGTCATAACAAAGATTCTCAGCAAGTTTACTTTTTAAGGTGCCTTGTCTTGTCATCTTGAGTACCTAGACGTTTGACCGTTGTTGTTTCTTGAACAGTTTTAGCACATGCTCGGAATCCGAGCAGGTGCTTAAAAGGCAACCATCCTCCACCAAACGTCTCCAACGATGGCTTGTAGCTGTATGATTAGTCAGTGTCAGTATTTGATTTGATATCAGAGGAGGATGCTAAGTGAAACTTGAAGTTACGGCTGAACAGAAACAAGTGATTTTCAGAGGAAAATTGTGAGGACAGATAACTGCTGTTGGTCTTTCGGCATTAGATCTGGTAGATACTGCCGAGATTCTATTCTTATTTGCTTATCTTCCATACTTTAGGCTTGAAGTCACCCAATACTATAAAAATATCTGAGCATTTTGCTTTCTTTGAAGAAACTGATTGATAGAACCCGTACTTCATATCATTTGAACTACAATTGATGGACAGCAACAACAAATAAGGATTGACGAGTGCCACAATCGTTTCCAGCTTTTACAGATCCATTTAGCAAGACTACGCACAGACAGCGATTAACTGGTATTTAGTTGAGAAATGTACTTTCTGCTGTACAACTCAGTGCAGCGCCTAAATCTCAGTGTCTATGAAAAGAAACCACACAATAGGGTGGGATAAAATAACTGTACGTACAACCAATACAATTAGGTGAAGAGGGAGGTTGGTTTCTGAATCTTTGTTCATCGAGTCTACACCCAACACATGTTATGGGAGTGATGCAACACCTGTATCAGAGATATTGAAAGTTTAAAAGTGACCTGATAGGCCACCCTAGCAATTGATAAAACAACCAATCACGTTTCTCTATTCTATGAAAAATTGTCTTACCAACCAAAATACCACAACCCTATTGATTATTTCGGCAGTTGTTAGGGTGGCCTTTAAAGTCGTCCAAATTTAATCACGGCTAAAAACAAGACAACACGATGTGATAGGATTATAAAAATTAAATGTCGAAAGTTGTGCGTTTACTTTAGTATGATTATGAGTAGTAATTTATGCTCGAAACACCAAGTAGACAATACTGTCTCACTGTGTGCTATATCAAATAAATCTAATATAGAAAGATTTCTAATCTCATTTTTCTCTTTTATTTTCTAGATCATATTGAAATACCATCATTTTCTTATCAGTAATGACATCATTAGACGCGTGACTAACACGTTTGGTCAGAAGAAAATATACGTACATTTAAAAAAATCTCCCCATTCTTTACGTTTTATTGGTTTTTAATTATTTAAAACAAAAATTAATTATCCAGTAGTATGTTAAGTGATTGAACGTGTAATTGCAAAATGATACACCTTTTCAAATTATTTATTCAATATTTTTAAGTTCAGTATTAAAGTTCTTTATTTGAAGGATATATAGTGTTATAATATTCCGTGAGAGATTTCACTTTATCGTTTACCCACAGAAGTTTAAGTTTTTCTTTCCTGTTATTGTTTTCATTTTATTTGCCCGGACAACATTTCTCAACCTTTATTCTGATGCGCCTTTTTTGTTAAACTAATGACTATAACAATAATTCTTCTATGAATAAATTAGTCACAGCAATCATTTATATTCAAATAGAAATGATTTATTTATTTATTTTGAATTAGAGATGGAAAAAGATAACTGGCTGATTCAATTATCTGTAAACCCTCAAGCATTTTGTTAATTTATTGTTGTTATTGTAATAGTTTTAAAATTTTCAACCATTTGAAATTACATTGAACACTGAACTTCTCTGAGAATTTGAAAACAAAAAGCGTTTATTTCAATACAGTTTTACCCTAAGTTTTTTGTTTTTCCTAAAGTCACACAAAGTCTTATTGAATGAGTTGAGAATTTTTTTTCAATGTCATCTGAAATGAACACATTGAATATATTCTAATTTGTACACAAATATTGACAGACGATGCCGACTGATAAGAGTGGGATTTAGCAGTGAATATCTGTCTCTGTTGTTTTGCCATGTCTACTGTTTGAGAGATTAATATTCACAAGTATTTGTCGCAGTTTATCTTTTCTGTTCAATCACATTCATTTTTTCCTGTCGTCAGTGATCCCTTCCTCTCCTATCTTCTTCATTATTTCTAACACTGTTCATCTTATTCTGGCTGTTATTGGTACTATTAAAATTTTAGTAAAATGAAGTTCCCGAGATAGATGACTATGCATAGTTTATTGCACATAACCAACATCAGTCTATAATGATGTGATCAGTGACCCAAATAATACACATACACAGAGACACATACACATATGCATACAAACAAAACATAAGAGATGGATAGAGAATACTTTAGTGACAAACTATTGTCATCGAATTCTTACACTTCTTACACGTGTTAGTGGTTCTCCTTAGTTGTTCTTTTATCATTATGAAAAGCGAGGAGAAAAACATTCAAGTGTAAAGTGTAAAGATACTGACGATCAACAAGTTGTTAACAGTGTTATTATAGTTGAAGTTATTCGGTATCTTCTTTCCTTCAAACTCGGATATAAATGCTATGGAATACCTTCTTTGTTATGACAGCAACGACGATGCAACAAGGACAACTAGTAATAAGACTGCCAGTGCTTATAAGTGACAAATTAACAGCATTGAACATCGACCGACTCATTTCTGTTCTAAAGACAACCAGAGTCGAAGAAAAGGATAACTGGAATCCGTTCCTTTTTATTTCTTTTCAAAAGTGAAGTATATTCGTTTTGTTGTTACTGTTTTCTTTATTAAATAGTGTCTACTACCAAAAGGAACATTGTTGTGTTCTGTGTGCTATTTTTTTTTAATTTCAAGTTTTGTTCCTTTTTTAAAATAGTAATATTGAATACTATTTCAGTGAGTTACTATTATTTACCTATTTATTGTTCCATCCATTTAATTATCGGTGTATCAATTAAATCAGTTAGTCAGTCTGTTCTGGTATTGCTATGTACCAGGAACACGCGGACTGATTGACGTCTAATGCATTCTAAGATAACAATACTTTTATTTATATCACTATTATGGATTCATGCGACAATCATCATCACCACCACCACCATGGACACCTCGATTAGCGCGGTTACAGCACTGATCGTGATGTACTAACAATATTTCACACTGTTATAATAGGCATGAGTGATTGTTTAGTAAATTTACACAAATTCACTTCCAACAGTCACCTTGATAGACTAGTGTGGATGAAGCGTGAATTGTATTTCCTTAAGACAAAATATAACATGAAAGACACGACAAAGAGAATACACTTTCCCCTTTTCTGTTCAGTTTCTCCATTCATCGAAATATCCTGTCGTCGATTCTCTTTAATTTATGTATCTCCTCATGTGTTTCTTTGTTTCTTGTCTGAACACTGATTCGTTTTCCAGTTTATCATTATCAATCGTGTATGTTTTCATTCAGTCTTGTGTTAAGTGTATTTGTTTTCCCTCCCCCTTATGTTACTTAATTAGATTATCTTCTGTTATATATCTAAGTTGACTAACTGGAAATTTAGATTTTCCTTTTACCCTTAAAATCTAATTCTTTTGTTTCCGTGTAAACATACCCACACATATATACATACAGCTTTTTTTCAAAAACATTTTCAATGATTTGTAAAGACAGGTGGGGATGAGTTGGTAAACGGTTAGGATTGGTTGAAAGAGAGTCTGTTTGTTCAGATGACGTTATTCCATTCTTCACGCTCACTAATCATATTCCTGTTGTGCATAGTTTAGTTGTCTTAATGAGAGTCAGTTATTTAATCACTGATGCAAGATTGATGACGTTCGTATATTGGTTTGTGAGAGTTTTCTCACCTACATTGTTATTCTTATTCTTCTTTGCTGTTTTATTAATTCACCTGGTCTTTTGTCTTTTCACAAAAATCTTAAAGGGTATTCATATACACATACACACAAGAACGCATTCTCAGTACTACTGATGGTGCAAATAATAGTGGGTTAAAAAATTTAATATTTGATATGAATGGTGAAGACAATGTGAACAGTACGAAGCAGAAGTTAATAAGGTTCCGTCATGTGCCTCAAAATAAAACAGATTGACAAATAAACAAACAAATGACGACAATGATTAATTGTTTTCAACTTACATTTACGATTATTATTATTATTATTGTTATTACTATTAAAATGTGTGATCTGTGTAGCTTTGTTTTGAAATCGGTGAGTTCACTTATGGATATTGTGACAGGCACGTAGTGTTGAGGACATAGAAAGGCTCTTTAAGGATGAAAAAAGAAACTGAGTGAAGTATTAAGCGTCATGCAAGTGGTTTTAGGTACACTGAGATGTCTAAGAGAGTTTTCACATGACGCTAAGAGGTCTGATATTCTACCATTATTACACAATCAATAACAACACAGTTTTTAGCATCCTAAGGACTAACCCACTTCATCAGACGCTGTCAGAATACGAAACAACACGAAGCGTTGAATGCTGGGGTTTGTACCAGCATTAGTACAAAGTTCCAAGGAGGCAGATACAAAGTCAGTTAATCGGTCCGAAGACAAAAATAGGGATTTAAAAATTTGTTCAATGTTAAATGTAAAAGATCCAGGAGAAAGAATACGCACACAAAGAATGATGTCCATGTCCATGTATACATACATAGGTTATGAACGTTTATGTTAGTCCAAACGCAGAAATAAGCGTTTACTAACCTGACAGTCATAATAACAATACAAATAAGTAATAATAATAATCACCAAAATTTTGTTGTAAACCAGTGATTTAGAGGAAAATAAAATAAAGGGAAAATTTCCTGAGGCGATGAAGTTTGTACAAAATGTTTTTGAAAAACAACAAAAAACAGAAGTACATTTAAATATAAGGTAATAATAATGGTAACAATAATAATAGCAATTATAGTAGTGCAGATGAGTGTTATCGTATTGCTATGCAATAAGATTGCCATTATCTTCATAAAAAGTCCTGAAGCTTTCTACGATCAATCATGTTGTCCCGAAATTTCCAGAGAAAGCACATGGACCAATGTGTAAATATCAAGTTGGTTGAAGGGATGAAAATCAATGGGACATTCAAATCTAGAGAAGCCTGAAAATAGCCTAGGCCATTGTAAATATGTATAAACCCTTGTATTTTGTATATTTTTAACGCTGTAATACACCAGTTATCTTATCACCTTTTCCGTTTATCAAAAAAATGAGGGACCATCAAGGGATGGAAGGAATCTCAAGCTTATATATATATATATATATATATATATATATATATATGGCTTACGTTATATCAAGTGGTCACTATAAGGTTATAACAAGTACTGAAAATGAATCATTTGTGCACTAATTTGTAATCAACAAACTGTTCCTTAAGGGCTAGTGACGGTTGTTGAAAGTAACTGTCTTGTCATTGTTTCAGGTCTATCAACAGCTTCAGATACCTTTTTTTTTATTTTACTGTGTTGAAGTTAAGAACCAGTTGCGGTTGGTTTCTTGAAAAGTGGTTCTATTCTATAAGTGTTCATAAAGGCGTACTCTACCACAGTGCCCTTATTCTGCTCTCGTACTCATCTGTTTGTCAGAGCGTTCAACTGTAATGAATTTATCTGTTCCTCTCACAACTTTAAAATATTCATAAAACGGTGGTTTTAGTGCTCTTTGAATGCTATTATGTTGAACAAAAATGTGGGTACTCTGCGAAAGTTGCTGAGGTGTATATCTTTGATCGAGAGGACTGAAGAAGTCATAATGTATGTGGTCATATGTTGGCACAGTTGTTATACATAGTTAGCTAACTGTTGGGAATTCTGTTGTTGGACTTCAGTATTCTTCAGGTAACCGTGACATTTTCCCCTTAACCAACTTTGCTCTACAGCTAAAATATCCTACTTAATGACCTAAAGTATTCCTAGGAGACGTAATGATAGTTTATCTCTTTATTTATCCTAATTATTCATCGTCGTCAATGCTACTTATTTCTCGACTGAATCTTCTCAATATGCTGTTTAAATTGCACTCGTCAGAAATAGTTTCACCTGCATTAATTTCTCTGGATTTCAGCAGATTTTGAAGTAGTCAAGTTTTAAACTGAGCATCACTCCGTTACCATATTTGTAAAATCAAAGTTTAGAAACCAAACAAAAATGATATTTCTCACCAATGTTTTAGTAGATGTATCGTGC